GGGGTTAACAAAGCGGTAACCCCGAGCCACACTCAGGAATACAGCGTAGGTCTTACCTTGTCCGCGATCCCCGCTGTGTCCTCCGGCCGCTGCCGCCTTCCGGGTTCCGTCCCTTGCGAGCGTCTGCGTCGCAGGGGGGCGGAACCGGCGGGAAGTTTTAAAGTTAAAAAAAAAAGTGAGGCAATAAAGGGAAAAAATAAATAAAAGCGCCAGGGAGGTATAAAAACGCGTCGAACGCGCGTTTCACTGAACGAAAAAACGTGCTAAAAACGCGCCTATAGTAACGCCCAGGTGTGAACCCAGCCTTAATGCTAGTAGCAAGCAGCCACTATATGTAGTTTAAAGTGGTTCTCAAAGAATTAGAAGTTGACAATTAACTCTCAAACTTTTTTAATAATGAATGCAGGTCAAATAAATCTACATTGCCCAGCAAAGTATTTCTTACAAGCATTTACAGTCATCCTGTTTATGAACAGCTCCAACTCTCTCAACTCGGCTTCCTGCCCAGTACAAGATCACAGGGGACTAGCTTGAAGAAGAAATCAAAGAGGAAGAGGGAGCATGAGGGAAGGAAATGGCTTCCCCTGCTTTGTATGTTTGAGGCATACACAGTTTACTAGCACGCACAAGGGTGGCCCCATAGAACCCTGTTAGGGAAAGGAGCCACCCTAAACCAGAATATTAGGGGCAGTGATCAGACCAGCTGATTCTGAAGGAAACTAAAACTTTTGACCATCAAGGGGCAGCTTCTATTATAAGTGATTTAATCAGCATTTGAAATGGCTTGAAAATGGTTTGTCTTTTAATATCACTTTAATACTGACCATAAACAGCAATTATCTTCCAATTTCAGCTAGATTTTGACGGCAAGAAGTCCAAACAGATCAAAGTAGCATACAGCTAACATTTTAAATTCCGCTCCTGTTTGGATTGATGCTAACTTACATTATTCTGTTTCTCTGATTGAAAAGTAGTAGACAGTGTTTGAAATTGCCTCTTTTTTTTATGAGTAGCATTAAAGCCTAAAATGTTATGCACATCAGATGTTGAATGTAAGTGTCATATGGTTCTGCTTCGTAGTCATTGATTGTTCACTTGTGATGTGTTTAGGTACCCTGAAAAAATGAAGGAATCGCTCCATCGAGCTCATTGCTTTGTGCCAGCTGGGATTGCAGCGGTATTAAAGGAGCGGCCACAGCTGTTAGCAGCAGCAGTTCAGGCATTTTATCTCCGGGATCCTTTAGATTTGAAAGCCTGCAGGACCTTTCGTCATTTCCTTCCTGAGACAGGTGTCTTCACATCGGTAAAGATTACATATATTCTTTGTAGTTTAACTGGTGTTAATTACTCTTGCCTCAAACATCTTATATCCCGATTCCTAAAGTGGACAGGTCAGTAACTTTGCAATCCTGCATGAATAGTCTTTGCAATATTAAAAGCGAAGTCCTCCTTTCAGACCATGTTTCATGTTACACCCATATTGGTTATTTGTGGTGTTGTTGCTGTATATTTTTAATTGGGGATATTTCCCTTCCTTTACGATCACGGAGACAGAACAGGAAGTTGGAGGAAATCTCCCAAAGTGAGAGGAAGTCTCTTCTTATACAGTTGTCCCTATTGGAAGATTTCACCATACCTTTCAGTCAAGGGGCAACCCTAAAAATTTGAGTTTCCCCCTCACCTTCTGTCTTGGTAACAATAATCACCAGTAGGAATAGAAGGGTGACGCTTTCTAATGGGGACATGAGCAGAAATAAAAACTTGAAAACCAAGAAAATAAAGGTTTTGCAGACAGACACACTTTAAACAATATATCTGAGCCTGGGTCTGCTTTACCATTATACTATTTTGTGTATATCCTAGGAAAACCTATATTTGGTTCTTATACATACGTGTAATTAGGGATGCACCGATATATCGACCGCCGAAACATTGGCCGAAAATGGCACTTTTGGCATAATGCAGGAAGTGGCATTTTCCTGCCGATACATTGGCGTATCCCTGCTTTCTCTCTTCCCCGCTGGGTGCTGCTCTATGTCCCAGCGGGGAGGAGAGAAAGTGTGACAGCGGGCCGAGTGCTGCAGGAGGGGAGCGCTGTGAGCGGCCGGCGTCTCTCCTCCCACACCGCTCAGCCGCCTATCACAGTCCGGCAGAGCGGTGTGTGGGCGAAGACAGACCGCGCTGTCACAGGAGACTGAGCTCTCCTCCCTGCACCGCTTGATCAGCCTCCTGTGACAGCGAGTCAGAGAGGAGAGCAAACACTCAGAGATCAGTGAACACTGAGTGTTTGTACATAACTGAGGACATAGTATGGTTACTATAGCCTCAATTATGAATGAATGGGAGTGATCTACATCACCTCATGTTAATTCATAGTTGTAGTTATAGTAAACATACCATGTCCTCATGTTTATGAATGGACAGGAACACTCCTAGAGGATTCCTGTTCATTGATAACTGGGCATACAGAAAAAGAGAGGACTCTTGTGTTCTCAATCTCTTTTTTTCTATTTTAAATGGGAAATATCAGGGGTCTGTTTACACCCCTAATATTTCCCCGAAGCCCCTAAAAGTAATGTAAAAAATTAAAACATTTAATAAAAAATTAATTAATACATAAAAAAAACCCAAAACGTTTATAAAAAATAAAATATTTAAGAAATTTGAAAAAAATTCAAATAAACATTTTCTGTTTTCGGCCTGACAATTTTTTTTATTTCGGTTTTGTTTCGGTTTCAAAATGTCCATTTCGGTGCACCTCTACATGTAGTAGCTGCACATGCCCCTATTCTTTTAATGTCTTTATTGTCCTTTTATTTACCCAGGTGACATTTACAAAGTGTTTGTATGCTCAGCTCGCCCAGCAGAGGTTCCAGCCTGACAAACGTAGTGGATATAACCTTCCTGTCCTTTTACATCCTAAGTATAAAGCATATGAACTTGGAATGAAGCTGGTAACTATTAAGTTTTTCTTCTATACTTTGTTTCACTAAGAATTTCTTCTTCTGGTGATTTACTGTCTTGTTTTTTTTCAGCATAATTTATAAAATGTACATGTTGTCTGTACTCTGTGATGGCAATCTCAATTTCAACCAAACTATTCTGTGTTGCCTGATAACCTCCAATTAAATCCAGTTTTCTTTAGCAACTCTCATTGTGCACGTTTGAGTCTGTTTGGTTGCAATTGGGCAACTTAAAATGAGGGCTCATTCAGACGTGCATACACGTTCGTAGGGCGGCACACCCGTAAAAATACATGTTCCCGGGTCTGTGTCCAAATGCACAACAGCAAAACGTTTTCCAGCACACTCACCAGCTAGCATGCACAAAAGTCTGTCTAACTGCTAGGGTTAAAAACAGAGGTTTTAGATACACGTCTTGTGCAGAATATGTGAAAGCTGCTTCGTGTAGTGCGATCCTAACTCTAACCTATGAGAGTCTCCATCTTGGAGCACATGTAGCAAAAGATAAATTGGGTGCAGGTTCGCCAGGAGGCAGCCCAACCTCCTAAAAGGCACTGGGACACACAAGGGACCCCACGCATCACAATGGCAGCTGTGTCCAAATGCAGACACCCGGACCCGCATGGATGAGCAGCCCTAATTCTTAACTGTTATACTGATATCCACTGTTATTCTCACCTCTGTTGGTAAGAGAAATAGTTATTCACCTCCCTAAAGCTATTTAATGGTGATGCAGCTTTTTACACCCTCTGCACTATTTCGGGGAAATGAGCTGATGTTAAAAGGGCGGGGGCAGGGCTGACTCCACCACAATAATGTGATGTAGCATGTAATTTTCCGTATGCTGAAATATGCAGCTTTTTTTTTTTTGAAGCAGCCACATGCTCTCTGGTGTGATGGAACTATATATTAAAATGTTGGCCTTGATTTGGTGCAAAACATTGAGTGTCAGCATGCCTAGACTGTTCACAACCCTAAGACGACCATCCCCATTTTGAACTTGATGGTGTTAGCATTATATTTTGGGGATTCTGTCATGAGTAGGAACTGAAATGAGAGCCAGATGGAGCCAAGTAAAAAATCTGTTTTAGGTAGCAAGAAGCCTGAGACGGGCAGAGGGTCACCTTCCACCAGGTCAGAGAACCAAAATAACCAGAACTACACTGGAGTGGTTTATAACCAAAACCCAAAATGTTTTAGAATGACCCAGACATTATTTTATTTCATAGTCTGTGGCAATGCTTGATAATATCTGCTCATCAGCAGTCCCCATTCAACCTGAGCTTGAACATTTTTCTTTATGTGCATGTCTGGTAAAGATTTGCCCTCAAAAACTTATAGCTGTAGCCAAAGGAAGTGCTACCAAGAATTGTATATGTCAGGGTGGGGTGGAGGCTGCACTTTTAATTAAAAGGGAAATAAAACCAAGCCATTTTTTGGCTTTACTTCTCTTTTGGATCACATTTACTAATATACTCCCTTGACCCATAGTCAGCAGATAGCGGGCTAGTAACCCACTATTTGCTGGCAGTGCAGAGCCACGCTGCAGCCAGCCAATTTTATTGGGATCCACCTGGCTGCCTGATTTACAGCTGGCTCTGCATTTTTACAGCCCCCCCCCCAGTGTGTCTCTCCAATAAGTGCTGGAGGAAGAGAGAGGGGAATCCCTGCGGGGTGCGGTGACTGACAATCAGTGCTCTCTGCAGGGAGGAGACCGCGAGCTGAGTGATCAGTGGTTACATGAGCGCTCATTTCTTTGAGTGTCCTTTCTGGGAGTGTCCCATGGCGGCTCTAATTAATGGGAGGAGTATATTCTACTCTCCCAATACCTATCCTTTAACTTTTGTGTCACTGTAAGGACTATTTATCACCAATTGGTAAAATGCCACTTAAATAATTTTCATTCTAGGTTGTTACACTTCAAAATGTGAATGAATACTTATGCAAAGAACTGTTTAATATATCCTTCTACCTTTTTCATGTTCAGGCACACGGCTTCGAGATTCTGTGTTCGAAATGTGCTGCATCACCTACAGAGGTGACAAAACAGCCCAATAAGAGCCCACTGTGGGCCGGATTCCTGAATTCCTTGAAAAAGAATGATTTCTTCAAGGTATATTTTAGACGTTTGTTGTACGGATGAATGGTGACATTACAAGAAATGGGTGACTTGCAGGAAATATATACCCTTTTTTTAAAATGTAAAATGAAGTTGGTTCAGTGTAAATAATTTTGTGTTTGGTCAGATTCTTGCTATGTTATTATATGCGTACATAAGGGCAGCCATGTTTGCTTATTTCACAGGCTTTGCTTCTTGCTTTGCATATACATCTGTACTTTAAAGTGTATTTATAGCCGAATGGCGTTTTTTGTTTGTTTGCTTGTTTGTTTTGTATGTGGGGATGGGATAGACCTCGGCCAAGTTTTTTTTTCTATTGTCCATGCCACCGCTAGGGAGATTCACCTTCTCAGTTTGTCCTGGTGACCATTGTCATTGAAATCCAACATTTTATGGTTGTCCCTGAAAATAAAGAGAGATGAAGGGAAATATTCTAACAGGAACCTGTTGAGAGGCTTTCCCCCTGACTTTGCAGAGATCTCACTCACTGTTGTGTCTCTGCAATAGTAAGTGGAGGGAAATCTTCCCAATGGGACGCTACAAAAAAAACAAATACATTGGCGTACTTCACCTATTCCCTACTTTATCAAAAAATAAAACCGTTTAGGCAAGGCATCTTTTAATGATGAGTAAGACTTCCATTTTGTCACTGAGAGACTCCTCCACTTCTTCCTTCACCAGTGATTTCTCTTCCTTCTTCCTGTCTGTGTCACCCTGAGGTGATCTTACTCTCCCCACATCCTCCCCTATATTACCCAAATCTGTTCTGTACATAATCTGATAAAATGTGACTGGAAACATAGTGTGTTACTGCCACATTCCTCTCCGCTCACTTTATCCAGCCCTAAACTCACACATCCACTGCTTCCATTGCTCCTACATAGGAACTCCCCACCCCTACAGCACTGGCCACTCACACCACTAGCACCCCTGACCTTCACAAAAAGGAAGTGGATGCTCTCCCACTGGGCTCCCTAGAAACCTCTTACGTACTGTCAAATACTGTCTGTCTGGATGGGAAGTTCTTCCCCCTCAAAAACATAGCAGCAGTACTGTCTGTCTGCACCATGCACATCTAGAGTAGTCTACGTCTCTGGCAGGGTTCTGCTCTAACAAACACACCAAACCCGACTCCCAGCTCTCCAGCATCACCCTGTTACTCATACAGAGCAAAATTCTTCCCCACAAAAACATAGCTGCAGTACTGTCGGTCAGAGCAGCATCATGCACATCTAGAGTAGTCTACGTCTCTGGCAGGGTTCTGCTCTAACAAACACACCAAACCCGACTCCCAGCTCTCCAGCATCACCCTGTTACTCATACAGAGCAAAATTGCTTCCCCTGCACCTCTGCTCATGTCTTTGCCCAGCGCCAGGAGATCACTCCCCTTGCATTGTGTGAGCAGAAGAGGTGGAAGCTGCTTGACACTGGAGTCATGGGACACTTCACATTCCCCTTCAGTTTTCCCCACATGCTTACAGCACATCCTAGTCCTACACCTCCACCCCCCACCCTCAGCATACACATTGCTCTCCAGCCATCTCTCAGTGCACAAGTTGTAAGATTTGGCATTGTGGTACTGTCAGACTTTCAATAAAAACTTTGCTGTTAGTGATACTTAATGCTCGCTGTCTCTGTACATTTAGGGAGAAATGGAGGGATCTGCACAATACTGTGAACTTCTGAAGAAAGCAGAGATTTATTTCCAGAAGTCATTATTTAAACCTAACAGGTAATTTTATATACAGTTAAAATTATTTTTATATATAGATAGATGTGGTTTTTTTAATATATCTATCCTATCTATCTATCTAGATGTGTTTTTTTTATATCTAATTGTGTATTAATTGTGTATTATCCTATGGGCATATAAAGAACCATTTTTAGAGGTACACATAGGTGTACAATGCCTTTTTTTAATAAATAATGATATATCATCAAATATGTGAATAAAAAAGGTGTGTGTGTGTGTGTATATATAGATATATCTATAGATATAGATATATCTATAGATATATCTATATATACACACACACCTTCTTTTTTATTCACATATTTGATGATATATCATTATTTATAAAAAAAAGGCTCATTATTTAGAAAAAACTTTTTTTCTATCAGCCTATGGTCAGATGGAAAAAGTGCAACATCTATGCTAAACTGTGTGGATGGAGGAATCTCCCACTGGGCCAAGCTTCAGTATCTTGCTAGTCAGCCCTGTCAAAATACCTGAACTATCCCTGCATCCTGTCAGATTGTTCAGGTATTTTGAGAGTATTTTGGCTGTGAAGGTGGAAATACACATTTAGATTGCTGTCCCCCTCCCACCTCGCACACATTCCTACTGGTCAGCACAGCAGCCCATCATAGTAATGAGTTAACAGAGCTTGCAGCTTACTCCCACCCCCACACATTCCTAACACTTAATAGTAGCAATCCGAACACCCGACTTTCAGATAAAGCAAAGAATACTAAAAGTTGCTGCAGGTATGTACACACACCACTGGGTACCTGTGCATCTTTCAGTGATCAAGATTCATTAAGTATCATCAGAATAACTCATCATAACTCACTCACTGCCCAGGACATTGCCATTCATTTCAAAAACAAAATGGATACCATTCGAGATCAGATCGCCACTGTCCAATCAACTGCCCCTTTTATTATAGTACCTGGTTACACAGCACTTTACATAGTTGCACATTCACATCAGTGCCTACTCTCAAGGAGCTTACAATCTAAGGTCCCTATCTCAAATGCATACAGAGGGCCAATTTTTTAGAGAGGAGACAATTAACCTACCAGCATGTCTTTGGAGTGTGGGAGGAAACCGGAGTACCCGGAGGAAACCCACACAAGCACTGGGAGAACATGCAAACTCCTTGCAGTTAGTGACCTGGCGAGGATTCGAACCAGAGACCCCCAGTGCTGCAAGGCAGAAGCGCTAACCACTACACCACTGTGCTATATTACATAATTGGGAAAATATTGCACCACATCTTGGCATATCCTTTACTAAACAGTTTTAGTTTCTTAATGAAAACTTGTAATTATTCAATTGGAGCCTAAAATATGTACATTGACTGCATTGGTATTTTTGCATAGCTATCTTAGACCATGGCCAAGGGTAAAAGGGCTGCCAGGGATGGCACATAGCCATCCACATATGTCACTGGCTGTTAGCAACAGCCTTAGGTGTGATAAATGACTGCCATCCTGCCTGCCAGTGCAATCCATCTGGGTCCTACCACTGTTTACTGTTATCTTTCGAATTACCTGTTGGTTGGTAGGGCAGGGATGGCCAAACTGCGGCCCTCCAGCTGTAGTGGAACTACGAATTCCATGAGGCTTTGCAAGATTCTCACAGCCACAGACATGACTCCCGGAGACAGATGCTTCATGAGATTTGTTGTTTCACCACAGCTGGAGGGCCGGAGTTTGGCCATCCCTGGTGTAGGGCTACAGATTCCGCTTGTTTGCAGTGATTACCTCTAAAGGTTGTTTAACAAAATATTAGGTTATGGGTCCTATCATTTTTGTCCACTCCATTTTTATTTTATTATTCAAATATTCTTTTGAATTAAAAGCAAAGTCTAATTTGTACTCAATGTGCAATAAACAGTGATGGATGCCAATTACTTTTGTAGGTTTTGTGGGTTCTCCTTTTTTCCTTTCTGGAATGGTGCCAACTCGTTTATCCACGTCTGTATGAGGACCTAATGGCTTACTCAGCCCTCAGGTCTCCACCAGTAGCTAAAATGTTATTTTTGTTTCAACTGAACTTTTAACCATCATCTATCCCCTGTTAGAGTACATATGTGTTTAGTCATAATTCTTCTGCATTGTGCCCCTCTCCACTCTAATATGCTCATTGTGTTGAAGATGACAGCTGGTTGGACATTTCCCCAGAAATGTTGGAACAGATCTTTCAGGATGCTGCAGGTTCAAAGGAAACTGTGCTCCCGCCGTCCTCTGACAGTGCCCAGAATTACAACCTGGCTGAAGTAACAGACAGCATGAAGGCCTTTATATCGAAGGTGTCATCACATGAAGGAGCAGAGGTGCCCTGGTATGTGTGTAATTATACAGTGTATTGGTGTTTTTGGCTTTTTGGATACCAGCACTGGGTCTCTTGTCAGTTACCAGAGTCTCATACTTGTATCTGCAAAAAGCAGGGGGCTGGAATGATTTATTCCTTGTGTAAAGTTGTTTGACCTTTAGTATCAAGCAGGAAATGTATAGGTTTTATATGTATTTGTATTTTGTTCAGGACTAAAAAATAGTTATTCTAAGTTATGTAAATATTGTTTCATATGGTTATAGCTTTACCCCGGGTTTCTCTGTTGCAGTGATTCACACTTTTTAATGTATTGTGTTTATAAAAACTGAGCTCATGATATTTCCTCCACCCCGTGCACCTTCCCCCAACATTTCAGTTGTGATTGATAACACAACTATCCAACCCTCCCCTTATGCCAAGGTCCTAGGTGTCATCCTTGACTCGGACCTCACCTTTCTTCCCCACATCCAATCGCTATCCAAATCCTGCCGCCTTCACCTTCGTAACATCTCAAAAATACGCCCCTTCCTCACCAATGACACCGCAAAACTACTCATACACTCCCTTGTTATCTCTCGTCTTGACTATTGTAACTCCCTCCTCATTGGCCTTCCACTACACAGGCTATCCCCCCTTCAGTCTATCATGAATGCAGCTGCCAGACTCATTCACCTTACCAACCGCTCAGTGTCTGCATCCCCCTCTGCCAATCCCTTCACTGGCTTCCACTCGCCCAGAGGATAAAATTCAAAATATTAACAGTCACCTATAAAGCCATCCACAACACTAGGCGTTCCCTAAAGACTCATCTCTTCAGGGAAGCCTATCCCACCTCGACCTAACCACTGAACCTTCACATTCTCAAATAATTCATTGCCACAGCTACCACAGCTACCTCCTCATGTATCATTTCCCCCTCCTCTTTCAGATTGTAAACCCTCAGGGGCAGGGCCCTCCTTACCATCTTGTCTTGAACTGTAATGTCTTCCTTATATTGTAAAGCGCTGCGCAAACCATTGGCGCTATATAAATACTATGTAATAATAATAATAATAAACACATGACTTTATGTAATGTATTATGTGTAAATAATTGAGAGGGTATGAAATTTCACTAAGTATGTACATTTCATTGTTGTAGTTCAGTAGTTATTAGCACCGGTGAAGAAGTTCTGAGCTTGCTTAATACTCTACCTGTGAACTTGGAAGAGATGAAGAAAGAGGAAGCTAATCTTCCACCAAATGAAGGTATCTTGCCACAAAACACACACACTGTATTTATTTATTACAGGTATTTATATAGTGCCGACAATTTACACAGCACTTTACATAGTTGCACATTCACATCAGTGCCTACTCTCAAGGAGCTTACAATCTAAGGTCCCTATCTCAAATGCATACAGAGGGCCAATTTTTTAGAGAGGAGACAATTAACCTACCAGCATGTCTTTGGAGTGTGGGAGGAAACCGGAGTACCCGGAGGAAACCCACACAAGCACTGGGAGAACATGCAAACTCCTTGCAGTTAGTGACCTGGCGAGGATTCGAACCAGAGACCCCCAGTGCTGCAAGGCAGAAGCGCTAACCACTACACCACTGTGCTATATTACATAATTGGGAAAATATTGCACCACATCTTGGCATATCCTTTACTAAACAGTTTTAGTTTCTTAATGAAAACTTGTAATTATTCAATTGGAGCCTAAAATATGTACATTGACTGCATTGGTATTTTTGCATAGCTATCTTAGACCATGGCCAAGGGTAAAAGGGCTGCCAGGGATGGCACATAGCCATCCACATATGTCACTGGCTGTTAGCAACAGCCTTAGGTGTGATAAATGACTGCCATCCTGCCTGCCAGTGCAATCCATCTGGGTCCTACCACTGTTTACTGTTATCTTTCGAATTACCTGTTGGTTGGTAGGGCAGGGATGGCCAAACTGCGGCCCTCCAGCTGTAGTGGAACTACGAATTCCATGAGGCTTTGCAAGATTCTCACAGCCACAGACATGACTCCCGGAGACAGATGCTTCATGAGATTTGTTGTTTCACCACAGCTGGAGGGCCGGAGTTTGGCCATCCCTGGTGTAGGGCTACAGATTCCGCTTGTTTGCAGTGATTACCTCTAAAGGTTGTTTAACAAAATATTAGGTTATGGGTCCTATCATTTTTGTCCACTCCATTTTTATTTTATTATTCAAATATTCTTTTGAATTAAAAGCAAAGTCTAATTTGTACTCAATGTGCAATAAACAGTGATGGATGCCAATTACTTTTGTAGGTTTTGTGGGTTCTCCTTTTTTCCTTTCTGGAATGGTGCCAACTCGTTTATCCACGTCTGTATGAGGACCTAATGGCTTACTCAGCCCTCAGGTCTCCACCAGTAGCTAAAATGTTATTTTTGTTTCAACTGAACTTTTAACCATCATCTATCCCCTGTTAGAGTACATATGTGTTTAGTCATAATTCTTCTGCATTGTGCCCCTCTCCACTCTAATATGCTCATTGTGTTGAAGATGACAGCTGGTTGGACATTTCCCCAGAAATGTTGGAACAGATCTTTCAGGATGCTGCAGGTTCAAAGGAAACTGTGCTCCCGCCGTCCTCTGACAGTGCCCAGAATTACAACCTGGCTGAAGTAACAGACAGCATGAAGGCCTTTATATCGAAGGTGTCATCACATGAAGGAGCAGAGGTGCCCTGGTATGTGTGTAATTATACAGTGTATTGGTGTTTTTGGCTTTTTGGATACCAGCACTGGGTCTCTTGTCAGTTACCAGAGTCTCATACTTGTATCTGCAAAAAGCAGGGGGCTGGAATGATTTATTCCTTGTGTAAAGTTGTTTGACCTTTAGTATCAAGCAGGAAATGTATAGGTTTTATATGTATTTGTATTTTGTTCAGGACTAAAAAATAGTTATTCTAAGTTATGTAAATATTGTTTCATATGGTTATAGCTTTACCCCGGGTTTCTCTGTTGCAGTGATTCACACTTTTTAATGTATTGTGTTTAAAAAAAAAACCTTACAAATATTCATTTTAAAGAAGAACTCTGAGCAGCATTTTATTACCCTTTGCAGCAGGGCTACCTGCACTGCAAGGATTAACTGCTTGTTTGTGTATAGGGACTAAAATAAAAAAAGTTATACTCACCTGATCCTCGGAGAAGGCCGGCTCCTAGACCACTAGCTTTCAGCCATGCTCCCCATCTGCTGCAGTGGTCCAAGGATACTCGAGGCATCACGTTCTATACACTGTGTATTGGACATGAGGACGCCGAGGGACATTCCATTGCTGCAGTATAGAGGGAGAGAGGCTGGAGGGAGCGCTGTGTCAGGAGGCTGGCTCCAGGGATCAGGTGAGTATAACTTTTATTTTAGTCCGTAGACAAAAATGAGCACTTATCCTTTGTAGTGTGGGGGGTAGCCCCACTGCAAGGTGTAATTATACATTTTGCCTAGAGTTCTGCTTGAAAAGAAACGTGAATAAGTTTATTCGATGGATTACACTACAAATTGTAATCTTGTTACATTTTTTTATTCTTGGGGCTGTAAATTTGATTTTCAGACAACCACTATGTTTGCTTATTTCTCCTCCTTACTATTTCAGGTTTCCTTCTGAAGCACCAATCACATTTGATGTTGACTCATTTACAAGTGCCTTGGAAAAAATCCTTGGTGAGTTTCTATGACGTGTTATTATTGCATTACGTTATGTTTTGTTTGTTGGTTTTAAACTAAATCTATTATTAACAGTCATATTTCACATGTATTACCAAACCACCTTATAACTTTGAGGAAGTACATCTTTTTCCTATGAATTAAAACAAGACTTCTCTGTCCAGCATGTGACTTAAGGCCCAGCTCCAGCTAAAACCTTTTTTTGTTGTTGCTTTTTGGTATTGGATAGACTTGGAGTTACCATTAGAATTGAACATTTTTATAGAATTGGAAGATATGTACATCATCGTTTGCTGGCATCTTCTGCTTTGGATTGTCCCAGGAGGGTTATTTGGACTATAGTTTCATTTGTCTGTTTGAATTTCCCTAGTTTGTGACAGGTTCACTTCTAATCCAGCTGAATGGTATTTCCATGTATAACTTTTAATGCTACGTATCCCAAATGACAATACATGCTAATGAGATAAGTCTGTTATCCTTCCTGCAAATATATTAATCTCAGTCAGTGGTCAGCAATGATTTACTGTATATTTGGCTGGTGTTTCCTGAATCCTTTCATGTATTTTTATACAGGTCCAAGTCCAGAAGAACTGGATTCTGATGATCTAGAGTCTGAGGAGGAATTTGATCTGCTAGACAGTGATGAAGATACAGATGGCAATGAAGAATCGCCCCTGGGTGCAGACACCCTGAAAAGCTTACACTCCTATATGGATGTACTAGACCGAGAATTGGCACACACCAACATTGGTAAAAGTTTTTCCAAGAAGAAAAATGAGGTAAGGTTGTTAAGTAATTTAGGAACTAGGAACACAGTTGCATGTTCATGGCATTTATAAGGGTACACAAATATAGGGATAAAGCTTTTTCATATACTTGGTTCTCTAACGGAACCTATCAGGATCTAAATATGTGGAAGCTGTTCCTGCTGACTTCTTCTTGAAGGTGGAGATTTCGAATCTCGTGACCAAATCAATTTTTTACCTTTCTACTATAGGCCTATACACTGGGCAATAACGTTGCCGTTACTTGCAATAACAAATTCATCTTTTGGATTTTGTGGTACAAACAAGGCTTTCTCTTGGCAACATCGCCTCGCAAAACCTTTTTTTTCTAGTTTGATCAGTGGCTGTTTTAAAGGAGAACTATGGGGTCAGTGTTTTTCCCCATAGTTCTCCTTGGGGTAATGGGAGGACACAAACTAGCGTCCTCCCGTCACCCTAAGCTCAGTATACCGCGAGCTACAGCTCGCGGTATACTGAGACGCCGCACCTGGAGCGGATCCCGACTTAGATGACGGGATCCGCCCAGCTGCGTGAGTGGCAGCTGGCTCTGCCTATCTATAGGCAGAGCCAGCTGTACCCGCCCCCTCCCCCGTCCGTTCCGCCAGTCAGCGCTGGCAGATCGGAGCGGGGAGAGGGGAATCCAGCCCCTCCCCCTGTCACGGCAGAGAGCCGTGACAGGATCGAGAGGTGAGGGAACCCGGTATGTTTTCCCTCACCTCCCGATCTACTGAGCCGACCTGTGACAGTCTCATTGTCACAGGTCGGCTTAGAACTATGACGTGAGTGGAAATCACTCATCTCATAGTTCTCCTTTTTAAAGCAACTAGTGTTACTGTAGATACAAAGGTGCATTTTATGTTTTTTTAATTTGTACAGTAAAATTATGTTTCTATATAAAAGTATGGCAAAAAAAAAAGAATTAAAACAATAAAGTTTTCACGTAAATGCAAAAAAAAAAAAAAACCTGCAGCAAAATAGGTTAGGGGAAAAGTGTGGAAGGCGTTAATTAGGGCTGATTGGGGTAAACTAAAGATTAATAAGGGCCTAATTAAGAACACAGCTTATTTGAACATGTATTTTTTCTTGTAAGGTTGCTTTCATTAACATCATATACACATCAAAGGTCAACCCTTTCATTGAACCAAAGTAACAACATTATAGCTTGTTACACTAGTATTTCCTTTTGACACTGCATACACTGCATCACACAGCTGTAGCTGCTCCTTTGGTATACAGCAGATGGCAGATTATTGTGGCCAGGGAACTGTTGGTTAGGACGAGGAGCAGGACGTGCCACACATACCCAAAGTATTTAGATGGGTGTTTTAGTTTGTGTGTAGTGCACCCTAAGGCTGGGTTCACACCTAGGCGACAGTGTTTTTGTGCATTTCTACGTGTGTTTTTGATGCACGTTTTCGTGCGTTTTATGCACCTAAATCTAAACGCGCATTTTTGTGAGCAGATTGTAGCTCATTGATGTTAATGCGCAAACGTACATAAAACACGAATACAAACTCGCAAAAACACAGGAAACTCACGTTTTCAATTGTTTCATTGAGTCTATGGGGCCAAAATGTGCTGTAATATGCCAAAAAAAAACTCCTGTACTTTTTTTCCAGCTTATTCTGACAAAAAGCTCACATGTGAGCCATAGAAATGAATAGGATTTTTTGGGGGGCATGTTTTTTTAGGGCAGAAAAAGTACTACAAAATGCTCAGTGTGAACCAGACCTAAGTCCACAACAGCAGCCAAAAGCAGTAGGCAATCATTGCAAAACCTATACCCTATGCATGGATAAATGTCAATGTCATTTTATGGCTTTTTGAGAATGTAGATTCCTCACCGGTCACAAATGTTTGTCTATTTACAGCATGGAGCATCACATACTGAGCCCCAAGAAGAGGATGACAGTAACTCTGAAGAAGAGACATGCTTGGAAGAGTCAGGTTTGGCTCCTGTAGACGTGGACTTGAATCTGGTGACTAATATACTTGAATCATACACTTCCCAGTCTGGACTGGCTGGGCCAGCATCCAATTTATTACAGAGTATGGGAGTGCACCTGCCTGATAACACCGACCATAAGACATTTGATAATGCTTCACAGCACTGACTTTTAGCACATAGGAAGCTACTTCTTTAGACTCCTTTACAAATGCTGTGTCTTTCTAAAGCTATCTGTGCCAACCGCTGCTTCCACCACATATAAAGAGGAATCATTTTGATGGACAATTTTATATATTGAGCAGTGGAGTCTATGCAGAGTCATGTAAGAAGCACAAAGATTTTTCTGTTGAATAGTCAAGGCACAATATAATTGTAAGTTATGTGGAAGTTGTTACTACTTTCGAATGACAACCATTTTAAGCGATTAGCACAAAGATAATAATCCACTCGGCATGCTATCCACAGACGAAATAAATTCAAAAACACAGAGCATATATTTGGTTAATTTGTGAAGAGCAAGTGGAGTCTTGCAGAAAGATTTTCTCCATAAGGTGGACTGTTCAAATGTCCAAATCTAAGTTAAGCTGCCCATACACCTGACGAATATCGTACGATAATCACCTGCGATCGTGCGATAATCGTAAGGTGTATAGGCAGCGTGCGACCGCATTTACTGTACGGTCGCAAGACTTTCGCACTCCCATTTATTTGCAATGGAATAAAAATAGTTTTGTTGAGACACGTACATAGGCTGTTAATGTGTCCTAGAGTGTTGCTGACATATGGCGTAACAGTCCCAAAGCTGTACATAGTACAGCATTTTACTGGTCATAGTTGGAAAACCAGCATCTCTTCGAGCAGGGGTGGGCAACTCCGATCCTCCAGCTGTAGTGGAACTACAAGTCCCATGAGGCATTGCAAGACTGACAGTTACAGGTATGGCCCCCAGAGGCATGTTTGGGATTTGTAGGTAAAGGATCTGGAGGGCCGGAGTTGCCCACCCCTGTCTTAGGGCAATGTACTTGGCACCCAGATAATAGATCTGTCTGTGAGAGCAGTATTGGACATCAGGTGGTGCTCACACTTTAATAAGCATTTGAAGAATAGCTTCTAATGCTCAACTTCACTTTATGGCTGATATGGCAGCACTTAATTCTAATTGGCTACAAAATGATTACAGTTTTAGCCAGGGCCTTAAAGGGATTCACACAAATAGAACATATATTAGCACAGTATATGACAAGCATGTGTAATGGGTGCACTAATTAGGCCTAGGGAAACTATAATAAATCAAGGTGTAGGAATAGTGCTATTAGGGGGTTATTTTTTGTGATAAACTGAACATCCCCAGGATATCCGTATTCATATCGTAACAAAACGCAGGATGTCAGGTACTAACAGTGTCTGAAATGAAATGATGTGAATTGTTTATGGCATCCAGTCAGACACAATGACACCTGCAATCTGATATTTATGGGTCACACACATATCTGTTTTTTTTAAACATTTTGATGCATGACATCCTTCAGGGCTTTTATATGATTCCTGGTTTTCTCTACCCTTGTATGAAGATAAAACAATGTCATAAATGTTTGTGGATGCTCTTGTGTTTAATTAATATTTTTCAAAGGAGAAATATATTTCCATGCAAAAAGAAATGCAACTTGCCTGTTTTGTAATATTTTATAAGAAACTAAATAAAAGCTACTACTTCAACGTGACATTACATGCTTGCATTGTCTTTGCATTTGTAACGCTTATCATAGCCACAAATAAAAAGGATTTCCTGTCATCTTCCGAATCAAGACCAGATAATTTAACAAAAGGCCTCCCACAGCCTGCTCACAAACAACAGCAGTTTAGCCCTCATCCTGCTACAAACAGCGACCTGGAGTAGTTGCATGTGTGAATAGTTTTCCAGCATCATAGCAGGGGTTCTCACATCACCAAATTACCCAAATAAAAAGAGGTGGTGAACTTTTGTGCTACAGCAATGACTGAGTGAAGAACTAAAGTACTGAGCAAGTACACCTCGTTCCCTTATGAATGTTTGCTTTATATCCAGTTTTCACAGGGGGCATACTTTCACAGTAACTGCTGGCTTCTCTAAATGATGGTGATGGTCTTTCCAGGATGTAATAATAAAGTAAACATATCATGAAAGAAATATGGACACTGCCACTTTTAGACCTGCTTCCTGACTATCCTATGGATATGAATACTTAAAGGGTTATTAAACTCTCAGCAGTTTTTGCATATATCTACTGCTAGCAAACAGCAGATATATGCAAAAACATTTTTTTTTTAAAGGGTTAATACTTACCTGTGTCTTTGCCGCGCGCTCCCGTCCGAACATCTGAAGAGTCTCGGGCGTCCGCAAAGGATCTTGGGGCGGGCGCATGTGAACTTCAGATGTTCAGCCGGGAGATGAGGAGAGACACAAGGTAAGTCTATGGAGCAGCGTGCACCCACACAGACACTGTGGGATATGAGAGAAGAGGAGTCGGCGCTGGAGGGACAGCTGAAAAGGACAGGAAAGAAGAAGATCGGATGAAAAGACATAATTTAAGGTAAGTCTCTGCAACAGGATTGGGAAGGGGGGAAAAAAGTTTGACTTTAATGTCACTGACCAGGATCAAGCATACAGCCTCTGTATCAGACATTCCGACCTGCGTGATTGCTTCAGTCAGTTACTTATTAAGCACTGTAGTCATAGGATGAGCATAACATGCAGGGAACACACAGCTTAAAAAGAGTGCAGTGTCCATATTTCTGTCATGGCAGGTTTACTTTATCACTGCATCCTAGCATGAACATTATTCTGAATCAATAGCTATCATGGTCTGACAGGTTGACTTTATTAGGTCTTTCAGCTAGACATCAATTATTATTCGGCATTCAGCTCAGGATGAAGATGCTCTCAGGCTTAATGCACATATGTAGGAGAGACGTAATTATTGGAATAGTTTGATAAATACATTACAGATGATCTCCAATAAATCGTCCTGACAGAGCAGTGTTTTTCCATATTACCACATCCAAAACTTTATTCAATATCCTTTCTATGCAGATCATTACAACATAACAGCTTTAGGGCCTATGTCATTATGGTTTTAAAAGCTTCAGGTGGGTTTTACATTACTATACATGTTTATGGGAATGAGAACCAACTTGAAGTAGGCCAAATGCAGGTCAGAAGTGGGTCATCTGCAGGTTGAACGTATCTGTCAATAAATTATGAATGATTTCAGAAGCATCTGAAACTGATGCAATCAATAAAACCCAGAAGCCTGGCCCTTATTGATGTGTCTGGCATCATTTTCAACCTTGCTCAGTGGCAACCATTGCGATCGAAGCTTTCACGCTCCAACCATTATTTTCCAGTGCAACTTGCAATTTAGTTCCTATGGCAACAAAGACAGCATTTGCTCCAGTCAATGAAGCATGTACACATGTACTTGGAATTTATAATTAAACCTGAACTGTGTACACAATTTCCTCTCATAGGTGATGTACAATGAAATATACTCTATGTGGTTACTAATTACATTCAACTGACCAAAAGCCACACACAGCAAGCTTGACAGAATACTGACCTTGATAGTGACTGTGTGTGTGGTCATTATCTGAGTTATCATTTATCAAAATGTCTTTATCTTTGAGAAAAAACATATTCAGTTTCCTTAACAAATCCTTTTATTAAAATAATGCAATAACTTTTTAGCAATATTGAATTCATTTACTTTGTGAAATCTTAGTTTAGTCCACATTATAACATTATTATAATAATGATAGTGTAATAACACTATTACATCATTGTCATATGTACAATTTCAAGAAGAAATGTTCTCAAAAGAAAAAAAATCTGTTCACTGTCCAGAGCACTAAAATATACTTGTAAACAAAATGTTATAGGGGCAATCTATCCAAAGGTAATATTTCAGTTTTTGGTAGATGCTACCCAACTGGTCCTTACATCTGTTATGGGCTCCAGTGGTGAGATATTTGCCTGTGAGTCTGCATACTCGGAGCAACTATTACAGGGGGATTCCAATCTCCCTGCGGGATTGTTTTGTTTTTCTTATGCTAGAAAGTCCAGCAAGAGAAGTGGGAACACCAGAGGTGGAGGTGAACACCTAGAATGCACAGCTGTGTAAAAATAAAGCTGGAAAGCATTTCAGGAAGATCTCATTGGTATAACAGACTAATGCAAGAGGGAGCCCAACTCCACCTATCACTGTAAAAAATCCCATTAAGATGGACTAACCCTTTAGGCAACTCAGGTAGAATGTATGGAGTTTTCCCTGAACACTAGGCCAAAGTCCCAACACTACTGAAGTGGGGTCGAGCATTAAAACGAAAGGCAACACAAAAGATAAGATGTTTGTGCAGACACAAAAGGTTTTTTCTTCAGCAAACTAAATCTGAAAACTGAACTCCAGGAAAGCAGCTAAAAAACACTGTTGAAACACAAGCGTAAACTGTATTACCTACCAATAGATTTGTAGTAGTGGTGTGATCGGCACCCCTGTCTGACAGAATAATAAGGTACCTGACTTCCACTGCAGCTAAGCAATACAGCTGTGAATTACACTGACTTTCCCCCAGCCTGCTAACTGAACAGTGGAGGAACATGACTGTACTGTCTCTGCTCTCTCCTCCTGTTAGCAAGCTCCCTGTGGACTGCAAAAAAAAAGCCTGAAACAATGCAAGAGGACCTTCTTATAGGAAGCTGTTCCTATATGAAGGAACCTATACTAGCTACGGATTTATTTTAATAAATACATTGCTGTGTTATTATATGTGTCTAGGGTTCAGCTTTAATTAGGTATTGATCTATCACGTATAAAAACTATAACACATCAGAGGCTCCTTGCAGCCAAATGTGAAGAGTACTGATATAAGGCATGTAAGCAGCCCATGCATCATGAGTGAATGGTAAGTCCACTTTTAACAAATATTATTTTGGAAATCACAAAGAAAGTGACTAGAAAGTTATTGCTATGTACTGATGTTAGCATTTCCTCTCCCCTGCCTACCTAGTGCTGGCATAACATATACACCCTCTAAGCCCCCTATCCACTGACAGTGGGGATGAGCTGACCACAGTAAAAGGCTGTCTGCTCTGCAAATGTACCAAGACATAGAGGGGAATTGCCATCATCCTGATCTTTGGCTGGTCTCTACTATGAGCTGGCATATGTCCTGAGAATGGTTTCAGAAAAGGAGTGCTGTGTATGTTAATGCTTCTTCGGTCCCCCTGTAAATTAAGAGAAAGCTGCGGGGACACAGAGGGAACCCTCTCTATTCAATTCACTGTTGCAGAGAATGGGGTAAGCATACATTTTATGATAAAAGTGAACCCTGTCTCTCTGTTCAACCTGATAATTCATGTTTAATCCATAATATTATATATTGCTATATATTATTTACTATATTGAATTGTTACTATATACTAATAATACAAGTTCCATCCGCAAGCGCAGTGTAAAATAGTGTTAAGTTAATAAAATGAGTTTAAAACTGTTTTATAAGAAACAGCCCCAAATCAGAAGGCAGTTTTAAAACTGGAAGACCACCCAATATATGCGTTCTATCTGAAATAATCTATGGTTGGTTATTAGATAGATAGAGCTGATATTAAAATAATAGGTGCTGCTATTTTTATAATTCATATATAGGGAGTTGTTCAAATATGTGTAGTTCCCATAGCAGCCAATCAAGTAAAAGCTAATATAAAAATAAGAACCTACGTGTATACAAATCTGTACTAAGCCAGGAGAAATACAATTGCACATATGGAGTTCATCATTTATCTGTACTGTGTGCCAATTATGGACCATCATTCCATGTAGGCAATATTGCACTGCCAGAGCTGGCATATTTATAGTATAAGTGGAGCACCGATTTTTGATTGTCCTCAGTATTTTACTTTACTTTCAATTGTGTCTTCTGCTCTTGTACCCACTCCTGGATTAGATGATGAGCAATGGCAAACCTCGGTGGTACCCATACTGGTATGGTGCCATCGGCCATTTTTGGTGGCAGCATGTTTACTTGCAGAGCTTCGATCACCTCATCCAAGCTGAACCATCTGGCATCTTGCAACTCTTCTCTGTTGATATTGAGCTGCATGGGAGACATTGCAAGCGATGTTTAGCATTGAAAACCTTCCTACTTAGCATACAACTTCATTTTTACCTAGTATTTTCACTGTGCATTTATTTTGTCATTTATAAGTAAAGTCAAACTCCGGCTCAATTATTTTTTCAACTGCAGCAAGGAAGAGTTTAAACTTCTGTTATGTTTTTATTTCTGGATGTGACCCCATTGGTAAGATTTTGGTAAAAGAATGTTTCCCGACATCTCCCTCCCTAGCAGGGGCATTGCATAACTAGGTACTGCTATTCCGAGTGGAGTGCCTGGCCATGAAGACAGGTCCAAAAAGGAAAATTACAGTAAGTAATGGTAATCAATTTTCAGTTTTTTTTCTTTCTTTCTGTGTCCCCATTGAGGGCATCCTCTAAAAAACGGGCAGAGACGCTAAGAAGAAAACAGAGTTTCAACCCTTCTCCACGCTATCCATAAATTATGAACATGACTATTCCTATTCAGCAATCTTTACTTTAGGTAGGCTTCGGAAAATAATGTGAGAAGTAATATTCTATGATATTTAGAGTAAATGTCCAACACTTAAGTATAGTTTCCAGATTTTTATTGAGTAAGTCATTTTCAGAATTTAAAACACATTTATGGCATGTCCATTCTGCACTTTTAAAAAGTGGCTTCTGTCAAATGGGGGGTTTGGTATTTTTGGTAACAAAATGTATTTAAAAAAATGTCTGTGAAGGATCTCATTCATCCAGGTTATGGTATATCTGTAAAAAAAATAGGTCAAGGCAACTGGACTTGCTGTATTTTTCTTGAAGATGTTTCATTGGTCGTTCAACCAGCTTTCTCAATTCAGAATGATTTGAAATTTGAGAAAGCTGGGTTTCTCCACCTGCACTATTATAGTTGCCATACTGTGGCAATTGCAATGTACAGATGCAATCTCTTCTTAACCAAATTTGACATTTTGCTTTCCTTCGCAGTGTCAGTGATAAATAGACATTAAAGTGACATTAAAGTCAAAATCTTTTTCCCTCCCCCCACTGTTAGTTAAACCACTTACCTTAAATGATGTTTCTTAATCCGATCTTCCTCTTCTTTCCTGTCCTTTTCATCTGTCCCTCCAGCGCTGACTACTCTGTAGAAAAATTGAGGATTCAAGTCCTGTGTGACAGCGCTCTCCTGAGGGATGGGGGGTGTTTGGTTCTGACTTTCTCAGAACTTTTAGTTGAGTGGGGGCTGTGTGGAGGAGGATGGTGTTGAGGTGGGGGAGGCGTGCGGCTTCAGTTCAAAATGGACCGGGGTGTCCACTTGGTATGGGTGCAAAACAGAAAAAAACAGAGTCTGAGGCGCAACTGCCCTTGGAGTTGAACAGGTGAGAGTATAGCGGGAGTTACATGGGCTAGGGCATGCAGGGTAATGGCTGCCCGAGAAGCAATTTCGTTGATATTTTTCCCTCCGCAATGTAATCAATATCAGGGGTGGAGGGAGAAATAAAAACAAAAAACAAAAGAGGTGCACATGAAAATGGAGGCAAGTTGAACGGTGTGTGGTGCATATATCAACTCACCGCAAGGTTTTTGAGGAAGTGTAGTCATCGACGACAGGATTCCTGTTGGAGGCAGCGTCCGGCGGACTCTTCTGGGACTGGGTGCAGGGACTTCCGAAGCCGGGTCGAGGTGCGATTCTATCAGATGCCTGTGTATGGGACGTGCTGCTGGGCTGCTGAACTGCTGGGCTGGGTTGCGATGGCTCGGGTCACGTTGTTCCGGCGGAGCTGGAGCGTCTGGTCTGGTGGCGGCTGGGGGACGTCAATCACGTCCTGTGTTTGAGGAGATCTGGTTCGCTGGCGGGTGGGGGACGCCGATCGCGTCCTGTGTTGGATACGGAGCTTGCGGTGCGGGCAGTGGCTCTCTGTACGAGGTGGCTGAGTGACGAGGTGCGCAGGCGCCGCCGAGCGACGGCGGTCGTGTTGGCCTACCCTGGCTTGATAAAGAAGACGTGATCTTCTAAACGCGTTGCCTAGACTACCACAAGCGTCCTATCCATTTTTGGACCAACACGACCGCCGTCGCATCTGATAGAATCGCACCTCGACCCGGCTTCTGAAGTCCCTGCACCCAGTCCCAGAAGAGTCCGCCGGACGCTGCCTCCAACAGGAATCCTGTCGTCGATGACTACACTTCCTCAAAAACCTCGCGGTGAGTTGATATATGCACCACACACCGTTCAACTTGCCTCCATTTTCATGTGCACCTCTTTTGTTTTTTGTTTTTATTTCTCCCTCCACCCCTGATATTGATTACATTGCGGAGGAGAAAATATCAACGAAATTGCTTCTCGGGCAGCAATTACCCTGCATGCTAGAACGGTTCCCACCGATGGAATGTCCCTAGCCCATGTAACTCCCGCTATACTCTCACCTGTTCAACTCCAAGGACAGTTGCGCCTCAGACTCTGTTTTTTTCTGTTTTGCTGACTCCTCTGTGCTTGCTGGCACTTCCTGTCCCATGGTATCTGCATGCGGGTGCACGCCTCCATAGACTTACCTCGTGTCTCTCCTCGCGTCCCGGCCAAAAATGTGAACTGCGCATGCACCCGCCCCAAGATGCTTTGCGGCCGCCCAAAAATGTTCAAATTTTTGGACGGGAGCGCGCGGGGAAGACACAGGTAAGTATTAACCCTTTTCAAAGCGTTTTTTTTTACACTTTTTGCATATATCTACTGCTTGCTAGCAGTAGATATGTGCAAAAAAAACAGAGGCTTTAATAACCCTTTAATGCCATTGTTTAGTAGGAGTGTGGGGTAAACAGGAGAGTAACAAAAATCCCTAGGATATATTTGGTCAGCCAACAATGGGCATCAATTTCCCACCCTGCTCTGTTGACGCTTCTATCCAAGGATAAGAGCAATCTGGATGTTCATCTAATAATAAAGTTTAGGCCCAATGGCACCAAGGGGCTAGCACAAAATGATGATACATTTACAGTAGGATCAAACAGCTGATGCAAAAAAGGCAATGAGTGGCAAGGAGTGGTGTCTAGGTAGAGACTTCTGGCAAGGAATAGCCTGTAGGCTCAGATGCCATCCCACCCTATGGTTTAGATCAGTGGTTCTCAACCTCTGTAACCTCAGGACCCACATTTGTCCTTGGTCATTAAGTTGCGACCCAAGGCACACTGCAATTGAACGTAGACATTGTGTTACCACGCGTTGCGGTGCAGGGGATTGACCTGTGGGCGGGAGGTGTGCTTGGTGCGTCATTCAAATTAACGGCAATGCAACGCACCTACCACACCAGAACGCGTAGTAGGTGTGATCGCATTGTACAGAGCATTAATTGCACAGGAGTGTTCGATTAACTCTCTGTACTAGTGTGGATGTGCCCTCAAAAACACTGACAGACACACAACCACAGACACAATCTCACAGACACACATATACACTTCAACATTTTTAAGATCCTCACAGTCTCCCTACCTTACGAGAACTAGAGTGGTTCCTCACTCTGGGGTCCAGTGTGGGCTGCTGTGCTGTGACAGACCTCCATCCATATGTGCATAAGAAAAGTGGAAGGCACATGGTTACCCACTGAACACGGGGTCGAGACCCCCTTTTGGGTCATGACCCACCAGTTGAGAACCAAGGGTTAAGATGACACTAATCCAATACAAATGGGCTTATTTTTAATAACTATAGCAATGCAAGGAAGGTAGTGTCTGTGAAGGTTCTCGTTCATCCAGGTCATGGTATATTTGTAAAAAAATAAATCAAGACCAACTGGACTTGCTGTATTTTTCTATGAAGACGTTTCGCTGGACATCCAACCAGCTTTCTCAATTCAGAATGACTAGTACAAAAAATCTCTGGGAATAAATATGGTGAATGTTGCCCCACTCAATTTAATCTGTTTATCATAATCAGCATAGAGTCAACACCTTACCTCCACGAGGTCTCTGACCGCCATGCTGATTATTTATTTTTTACAGATAGGATAGACAGGAAGGTAGTGCTCACCTTGTCATCTTTGGCTGTAGCCTGACATGCTACCATCAGAGAACTGTTAGGGAAAGGCCAGTGCTGAGATGCAGAATATCGGAGAGTGTCTACTTCTAACCCAACTTCTTCTGCTACCTCTCTCCGAATTGTCTCCTCCAGTGTCTCACCTTCAATGCAAAAAAATTAAAAAGGAAATATTTAATCAATGCTCATTTAAGTAATGTTTTAAATAACAATCCCAATTTCAAAGTTCCAGGCATGTTGAACTCTGATGTGGTGGCTGCGAAGAACATCTTATTAACAACAAAGGGGAGAATTTATCAAAACCAGAGCAGACAAAAACTGGAGCAGCTGTGCATGGCAACCAATCAGCTTCTCTTTTCAGTTTGCTCAGGTAAGATTTGAAAATGAAAGAGAGAAGCTAATTGTGATTATTTATTTTTTACAGATAGGATAGACAGGAAGGTAGTGCTCACCTTGTCATCTTTGGCTGTAGCCTGACATGCTACCATCAGAGAACTGTTAGGGAAAGGCCAGTGCTGAGATGCAGAATATCGGAGAGTGTCTACTTCTAACCCAACTTCTTCTGCTACCTCTCTCCGAATTGTCTCCTCCAGTGTCTCACCTTCAATGCAAAAAAATTAAAAAGGAAATATTTAATCAATGCTCATTTAAGTAATGTTTTAAATAACAATCCCAATTTCAAAGTTCCAGGCATGTTGAACTCTGATGTGGTGGCTGCGAAGAACATCTTATTAACAACAAAGGGGAGAATTTATCAAAACCAGAGCAGACAAAAACTGGAGCAGCTGTGCATGGCAACCAATCAGCTTCTCTTTTCAGTTTGCTCAGGTAAGATTTGAAAATGAAAGAGAGAAGCTAATTGGTTGCCATGCACAGCTGCTCCAGTTTTTGTCTGCTTCGGTTCTGATAAATTCCCCTCAATGTTTTTTTTACATTAGGCTATATAAGGGAGTGAAGTGGACTTGTACTTCTACAACAAAGCCTAAATGAAAACAGATTTACTGAGTAGGTGAGCTGTGATCTCTGCATGGAGCTTAAAGGAGAACTATGGGGTTAAGGCTTTTCCCCATAGCTCTCCTTAGGGTAACGGGAGGACACAAACTAGCGTCCTCCCGTCACCCTAGGCTCAGTATACCGCGAGCTGCTTGCGGTATACTGAGACGCCGCAGCTGAAGCGGATCCCGATAATTATGCCGGGATCTGCCCAGCTGCGTGACTGACAGCTGGCTCTGCCTATCTAGAGGCAGAGCCAGCTGTACCCGCCCCCTCCCTCGTCCGTTCCGCCAGTCAGTAAAATAAAAATACTTACCCGAACCTCGAGCCCGCGTGGCTGCTAGAACGGTTCCCACCGATGGAATGTCCCTAACACCCCATTCACACTGAGTGGTTTATCGCGCGATTTTTGCCGCGAAATCACGCATATTTCCGCGCGATATCGCTCTATGTAGCTTGTCCAATGCATTTCAATGGAGCTATTCACATCTCACAGCTCAGTAGCTCGTCGCTGTAGCTTGTCTCTTGTACCTGACCCTTTTTTGCGCAGATGTCGCGTGATTCGGCTCCAAATAACTCTATAGTGTTTTGTGCAGAATCGCGCATTACCGGAGATATTGCGATACTTGGTCGTGCGATATCGCGCTACATTTGTACTGCAAAATGATAGGAAAGAATGATGTCACATCAAGATTGCTGTTGATTGGTTAGGTCTCGTTCACACCTAGGCGTATTGCATATGCGCGACCGTCGCACTTTTTTTTACCACGATTCGCGGTAAAAAAGTTGCGCGACAAACGCGCGTTTCCGAAGGCTACTTGGCTGTATCCCAATGGAAGCGCGCAACAAAACGGCCCAAAGTAGTACATGTACCTTTTCAGGCGTGGGCCGTTTTGTAGCGCGTTAGGGACGGGCGGAAATACGCCAAGGTGGGAACGAGACCATTGAATACAATGGGATTTATATTTTTGAGCGTTTTGTAGAGCGTTCGTCGAGCGTAGAACGCGCTACAAAACGTTCAGGTGTAAACGAGGGCTTAGAGCCCAATGTAGCAGCGACAAAGTCCCGCCCAAAAAACGTGCGATAAAATGTGCAATATCACGCAATGTAGCTCAAAGCCGCTTAGTGCCATATTGCGCAGAAAAGCACACAATATCCATGTCGCTCAGTGTGAATGGGGTGTCAGTGTCCTCATGTCTAATACACTGTATTAGACATGATGACTTACGGATCCTTAGACCGCCAGAGTGGAGGGGGAGAGAGGATACAGAGACCAGTCCAACAGCCAGGCAGGACCAAAGTTCAGGTGAGTATTGGAGGACTGAATTTTTCCACAATGTTATAGATACAGAAATGAATGAGGTTGTGAAGTGTTTTTACTGCTTGCTCAGAATATGTAAATACTGAGCTGGGCACAGGTTCACTTTAAATAGGAAATGCGGATTGAAGCAGAAGTAAAATAAAAATAAATAACAATTGTTGGGAGGTAGGGATTTATGTCTGAAGAGACATGCAAAGTCTCTTCTGCCAAAGAACTTCCTGTTTCCCTAACAATGTTTTATCTTTGACTACACCGTATGGCACATACACTGTGCAGTGTACACTCTCATTCACTCTATTTCTAAGATGTTATTAATGGGCCTGATGCCGGGGAGGTTGTAACGTTTGTGCGCATTATTACATCAGTGACCAACCAATGGCCAAAGAGGATTCTGAAGACCCTGCATGTGGCGGCAACAAAGATGGTGACAGTGAGGGACCGAAAATGCATTGCACAGTGCTCAGGGCAGCCATCAGGGGGGTACGGCCGATACTCATGTAAGGGGCCCGGGCAGCCTTGTGCAGGTAAGAGGAGCAAGGAAGGAAGGAAAGGAGGGAGGGGAGGGATGCAGCCCTGACCAGCCCACCTGAGACCCCTTCAGAGCACATTGACAGTCTCAGATGGGCTGTGCAGCACCTATGGTGGGCTCTGCAGGGTCTCAGGTGGGTCCTGTGTCCAGCGCGTCACTAAGCCCTGCGTCCAGCACGTCACTAAGCCCTGCGTCCAGCATGTCACTAAGCCCTGCGTCCAGCGCGTCACTAAGCCCTGCGTCCAGCGCGTCACTAAGCCCTGCGTCCAGCGGCGCGGGGGGGTGCCCGGCCTAAAGCCGTGTAAGGGGCCCCAAAATTTCTTAAGGCTGCCCTGACAGTGCTGGAGAAGGGCACATTTGTAAGATAAGTGGGCAACATTAATGCAACCACCCACAGAGCATACAACAGTGTAAGACCGTGTTATTATCCAAATGACCTCTAGAGGGAGCATTAGCAATTATACACATGGAAATAAAATATGCAACAGCAAGTAAAAATGTGAATGCTTTGTCAAACAGCACAGCAAACATTGCGTGAATGTCACAGTCCTTACAGTGCATGCCTGTGAAAATACACTATTGTCTGTTGTTAAATCACACTATTATAGCACATCTTGTGTAGGGAAATTATTTACCAATTTCACAGAAGCCTGCCAGAGCTGTGTACATCCCAGGGGGGAAGGTCTCCTGGTGAGCAAGCAAGCAACGGTTTCCACAAGACACCAGTGTGATGATCACTGGAGACATCTAGAACACAATGAAATGCAAAGTCAGTCTTGATCCTAAGATACAAAACACTACTAAATATCACCATCTACTTTGATCAGGTGCTGAGTGCAATGACAAATAAGAGCAATGAATCCGGAATGACAATTTGCTAATTAAATGCCGAGACATAACACAGTGTAGGAAACTAATTGTTCTGTCAGTTAGTTAATGATCGCAACTCTTACAGGGTTATTCACAAAAGGGTGAAGAGTTTGGAGAAGGCAGGGGAAGGGAACAATATAGGACAACATAGCTGAACTGGAAAGTGAGCTGAATTGGAGAATTTTCCAAATCTGCTATTTTGGCCTAGATTGTTCACTTCTCCTGCCTTCTCCAAACTCTTCACCCTTTTGTGAATGACTCTTAGTGATTCATAGGCAATATAAGGAACACATCAAAGCTCCTAAGAATCATCTGTTTGGAATCTTTGTCTGTGTGGAATCAGATGTAAACGGACTTGTGTCTGTTTACATGAGATTACCCCCGATCCATCACAATCAGATCCGGCAAAATGGAAATCTGAATTGTTTGTTTTTCCGGATCTGAACGGACTTGGGAACCAGATGTAAACGGATGCACATCCGTTTAGATCTGGCTGGCCATAGACTAACATTGGGCTTCTGATCAGGTCTGTCTGAAAAACTGACCCTGTGTAAAAGGGCTCTTAGAATTCCAGTCATTTGAGAAAAATTTGGCTTCCTGCTCCTTTGATTTTTTTGGTCACTACGGACGAAAACAGTCGGCACTTTGACCCCCATTAACTATTAGAAAATCAAATGAAGTATATTAAAACACCTTTGTTTAAATACAATTCTACTTGTGTATGGCCAGTCTAAGTGTGCTGACCCCCATCCTAACCGACCCCCCCCCCCTACATTGTGGGGTTCTTTTCCCCGCAAACTACTGTCATTTTTTAATCTTTGACAGGATCTGTAAGAGACTTGTCAATGAAATACAAGTGCAGTGATGTCACCACACTTGTAGTCCATTCATAATTTCTCCTGTCCCTGCAACTGAAAGTCTGTACCTTGGTGTGGACAGGGGATGGGAGGAAGAGTCTGCAGGAGCCAGAGCATTCCATCCACAGTCTACTGATCAAGGTTGGAAGGCTTTACTGGCTCCTAAACAAAAAAAATAAATACACATGTTTTCCATATATATACAGTATATATATATATATATA